CTCTGATATTAACTGGCACAGGGTAAACATTCAAATGTTTATTGAATTGAACTGACTCTCTGGTTGCCAGCGGCATCCTGGTGGATGTAAATTTTGAGAGCTGCTTGTAGCTATAACAGGTTGACAGCAGGTGCTAGATGTCAAGAGAAGGAAATTTATATGGCTGACTCCACTTTTTCTAAAATAAGCAATCTTCTAATAGATAATACCTGAGAGGAAGATATTGGATGGCATTTCATTAGCAATAGAGATTTCATAAAAATGTAGAAAACAGCACAGTCTTTTTATTTTGCCATGAAGGATTTCATACATTTGGTTGTAGCAATGAATGATGAGTTGACAAAGCTGCTATAAAACTGTCACTTAATTCAAAAATTCTGTGAGAGTATTTTTATTCTCATACAACAGAAATATTCTCCCATCTACAGCACCATATTCCAGCTCTTTAAGCAATACAATATGAATTCCTTCACTTAAAATTTATAAGATGTCACCAAATTTCTCAAAGAACTCTGGACTGGTTTGAAAAAGCCTTAGCCAAGAAAATAATTCCAAAAGAAACAGCTCTTTCTTTAGATGTGATATTGTTTTAGAAGTCCTTCCCCTGGTTTAGTTGATAAAAATATTCTCTCATATCCAGTTACCCTATAACAAATTTATCTCACTGTGACAATATATACCATTTAATTAGCATATAGGATGTGCCATAAATGTACATTAGAAACATCGTGTAACTTATCCTTCATAATCATTTCACAGATTAAGTGCAACTTTGAGCCCCAGATGATAGATGAGGGAATCATGGCTTATGGAAGTGAATCCACCAGGCCAAGGTCACAAAGTTAACAGAACATTAGGCTCTACTACTAGCTTGTACTTCTACAACACATGTAAGAGACAACCCTATAACTGGACACTCAAATACACAGAAGGCAAACATATGAATAGGAGCAACAAAAATTATATTCAAACTATAGCAACCTGAAGTTAGTCATAATATTTAAAGCTCTCAAATAAATATTCCTACTTTTTTGACTAACCATCCTTTTCCATTTATGTGTCTCAGATTTTATCATCATACAGAGATGGGTTTAAATTTTAATTCCTCACTTACCATCTTCTCTACACCGTAAACAAGCTACTTAAACTCTCTGAGTCTTAGGTTTCTGCCTCTAAAATGGGAATAGTAATGTCTAGTTCCTATATTTATTGTGAATATTGAAAATGAAGTAACTTACATGGATTTCCTTACTTACCAAAGACTTTCCTAACTATTTAAAAAAATTTAATTTAATTTAATTGTTTTTACAATTTCTTACATGTATATACATTATTTGGGCCAACCCCCAACTGGCTTAAGGCAGAACCTGTTCCACCCTCTTGTTCTCTGATTTTGTAGAAGAAAAACCATGAAGGATAAAAAGAGAAATATGGTGTTTTTGCTAGTTTGAGGTAAAGATAGCTATACAGGGAGATTCCTTGTGTTTCTTCCATGCATATGTATATTACAACCCAAATTGGTTCATCTCTACCAGACCTCTTCACTACTTCATAGTCCCCTTCCCATAGTGGCCTCTGCCAGTTTAAGATCTACATTCACTCCAATACAGTAAGCACATCAACCACATTCAAGTTTTTGGTTTCCTTCCCTTTCCCTATCCCTCTCATGTGCAGTTTCCCCTTAGTGTGTGACTGTGTCCAATAATTAAATTTTTATTTATATATCTTATTTTATCTTTTGCAAAGCAACCTGCTCCACCTGATCTTTTGAATCTTTTTTTATTTTTTGTTGGTGAAATAATCAAATAGTTACCAAAAGCTAATTAAATGCTTTCCCAATAGACATTCAAAACACTGAAATGTCAGAGAACCCAAACTTGCCAATATTATTTGTAAAAAAAAAAATAATAAAATGAAGCAGTTCTTTCTTTCTGTATCCCCCTTACTACTATGAAAAGTGGGATGATATGCTTTGCAGTATTAATGTACATGAACAAGAGTTTTGCATAATTCAGACACCTCTAAGGAAGCAAATTTAAATCCTTATTTTATTTGCTTTTGGTCCCTGATCCAGCCTTTTGTAGAAGAAAATGACCAGGAAGAATTCACAAATTCAGCAACCAAAGAAGTAGGAAAAAAAGAAAATATCAAAATGCAAGGAGAATTTCTCATTTGAATTCACTTAGAATGAAATTTATTTTTACCTAGATTATTACATGATTTTGATCAATGTAATTACCTGAAACTAATAGATATCATGGAAATAATTTTGTATAGCAAAACATGTTGATATTTTCCAGACCCAATTATGTGAGGTTTAACATGAATATTATTAGTAGAAAGGAATTGATTTTTTCTCTTGACAGAATGTAATAACCATGTATAGATTTCCCAAACTGTTCAAAGTTATGAACTGGGATTTACCAAGTAATGAAATGTCTCAGTATAGTATTATACACATATTAAATATTTTTTTATTTAGCTGATGCTTTTTTAAGTATCTATAGAAGTTTTGTGGCAACAAAAAAAGATCAAAATCATTAAATGGGAAAATACAATTTTATGAGTAGATATTTTATTTCTGCCTTTTCCCTGAAAACCAAACCTATACTAAGAAAAATTCTATTTTGAAGACTACTGAAACTATTATCTCTATGAGTATTGAATTTCCATCGCATTTCATAGATTTTAAAGGAAGAGATAAACTGAAGCATAGAGAAGCTTCAAATGACATTATCTAGATAAATATATCTTTGCACAATTATCCTACTGCTAGCATTAGTGACTCCAGGAATATTTAGAGGTAAGAGTCTAGCTTATGTCTTAAATAAGCAATGTGACATTTTCAAACAGACATTTGCTTTTTGATTCTTCACATTAGAATCTTTACATTATGCTGCAAATAACCATAAAGGTATTATTTCTAAAAGAGAAAAGCTTAGAAAAATAGAATTACTCAAATCACTGGATATTAGGAAAGAAATACAAACTTGCTCTCTGATCACTCAGGTATAATCTACATCATGAAGAAAGCCAATGCAATATTTAAAAAACAATTGGAAGGGAAACATGTTTAGACAATATTGAACAGATACTGTAAAATACATTAGTATCATTTTTCTTTTAGGGAAAGGAAGCTGTTTTTTATTAGTAAAATAACAAATGACTTTCTATAGACTATGTTCAGATTTACATAAACAACTTTGAAAATTTTTCATATTTTTTAACACAAGAAACCAATCACCTATGTAATGGGAATTCAGTCTCTTACTGAGTAAATCACTCATTAAGATTCATTCTTTTAGGCCAGTGTGCTGCAACCTGGTGGAGAATCCTCATGGTTCTAGTTTAGGGGAGAAACACTTGGATGAATACATCAATCAAACAGCTCTACGTTGGTCATTACAAGGCATTTTTGTTCTTGCCATGGTAGATATAGAAATGACATCCCATAACTCACCCATAGGACATAAGCACATTCCTCTTAATTAAAATTAGCTGTGGAAGAGATTGACTAGTGTCTTATATCAGTTCCTCTTCCACTACCCTTACAGTTAGATTTGCCATGTGACAAGTTACAGCCAACAGACTATAAAAAAAATTAACGTACACTGCTCTGGGCATAGCTCATGACAACATTCTCATGACCAACACTTGTTTCTCATCTTTTTGTTAAATGCACAAGACTGATACAAAAGATGGAAAGAACATGGGTCTTTGAATCACTTCATAAAGGACTACTTCGGACTGTACCAAAATAGAAAGTAACCTTCCACTGTAGCTTACTTATTAATGTTACTTATTAAACCTCTACTGGAGCTTATTTATTATAGTGGCTAGTGTTACTCAACTAATACATTAGCATATATCCAAATTCATTACCTTATGAACAATAAAGTGTTAAATTTTGAGAACAGCCTATTTAAATTAACAAGTACTACAACTAAAAGAAGAAAAGTCGTTAGCAAATGAATCAAAACATACATATTTGCAGGTCAAAATGTATTTAGTTCTAGTGATGAAGGGTTATTAATAAAAGTAATAAAACAAGATGGGAAGTGGTAAACATCCTGAAAGGGAAAACAGATATTAAAGTCAGAAAGAGACTTTTGCAAGTCCCAAGCTCTGTGCCTTGCTTGTTTCTAAAACTTGAGCAATATGAGTAAGTGTTCTTGGAATCTGTTCATCAATCTATAAAATGGGTGTTATAAAATCTAGCTTGCAAGATTCTGTAAAGATTTGATATATACACACCTCTCACCTCTTATGAGGCACTTAATACATATTATATATATTATCACTAAGTATTTAGATAATGTGTACAAATATGACTAAAGAACTTTTTCAGGTACACAAAGGTGCATTAAAATAGCAGAGTGATGTCCAGATCCACACGTATGATTATAGGTGGAAATAAAAGATGGTTCAAGAAGCAACTGCCTGCTTGGACAAATAACCAAGAATATGAGGAAGAAACTGGCATCTTCATTGATGCCAGCCCATATACATGACAACCAAGGAGCAAATGTATGCTTACCATATCCACCATACAGCACCTTGAAACTACATAATCCCTGTCTTGATGAAAATTATGTTTCCTCTATTCAATGGAATTATATTCAGTTATTGAAAGATAACATTAGCAGGGCACCAGAGACTCACTTCCATAATCCTAGCTACTTGGGAGGCAGGGAGCAGGAGGATCATGATTCGAAGCCAGCCCAGGCAAATAGTTCCGTGAGACACTATCTTGAAAATACCCTTCGCAAAAAAGGGCTGGTGGAGTGGCTCAAGGTGTAGGCCTTGAGTTCAAACCCCAGTACAGCCAAAAAAAAAAAAAAAAAAAAAGATAGCATTATGAAATGAAAATCTTATTCAGTATAATAGTTATATGCAATTATTTCACACTATTTCCATAAATGTAATGGGAGAATATTAACTTGTTACTGGAACTTTCATGCATCTTGCCTTGAGTTTCCCATGCCTGTTAAAAGACTTACTTCTGTCAGTAATGATTGTTCTAGCCTCTTGATTGCTGGTTTTGTTTTTCAAATTCTGGGCAGCAGTAATGAGTTCTTCCAACTGGGGGTGCCTCTGTTCCAAATCTTGCAGTGTTGCCTGAAAGAACAAATATCATTTACTTTCTGGTTCTCCAGCATTGTACATTCCTTTTTAAATACAAAGTGAAGTGCAATTTTTGAACCAGACTAAACAATTTTAGAAATAAAAAAGATGTTGCTGGATATAAATCTCTACTGTGTAAGGCTTTATAGAAAATAATTGAACAAGAAATGTGTTTTATTCTTAAACACCAAAATTATTTCAAGTGAAAATCATGATTGTAGATTTGCTTCACTACTGAAGACCTTAGATGGAGTAATATCAGAGTACCCAAGTTTCCTTAAGCCCACATATAAGAACTGTAGTTCTGAATTATGAAAATGTATTTAAAAGTTATTTATACTTATAATTTCATTCTGTGTACTGTAAAATTAAGGTGTGTATTTACTTTAGAAACAGAAAAAGCACATAAGTGAGTTAAAAGTTATTATTTTTTTCTACCTGATATTCCTTATATGTAAAATGAAAAGGTGAAGTAGATGTGCTAAATCCATCTTTCCTCAAAGATTCCTGCTCATAAGAATCTCACAATTCCCTTGCCCATGCCAGAACTGATGAATTAGTAAAATGAAGGGCTGGGAATCTACATTTTTATTAAACTCTTGACTTAACTGTTATGATTAGGCAAGTTTGGAGAACAGCAGACTAGACATTAGTACTCACATTCTTCTCTAGTATAAATGGCTTTGATTTAATACTGCTTTAGATAAATATAGCCAATAGAATAAGCCAACAAGTTTCTTTATTTATAGGTAGCAGTGTTAATCCTTCAGAAATTCTTCTGTTCTTTAAACATCACAGAAATATTTATAAAAATTGTGAAAAATAACCTTGCTTTGGTTCTAAAATTGAGTTTTATTTTAATCAGGAGAAGTAAAATTGATATTTAATATTAATTTATAACTACTGTGACAGATGTTTTACACACATTTTTTTTCTCATAGTAACTACACTGATAACCAAGCCATAAGTTCTGTATAATTTTAAATATCATGCTCTTTTTCTACCACATTAGGCTGAAAGTGAAGAGATGAAATATGGTAGATGGTAATATTTATGAAACTTACTTCACTATGCTTTTGACTCCTGGTGATTTTTCAGATGATTTTTTTTAGAAAGGCCAAACTTGGATCATCCTTTAGAGTTTTTTGTGAAAGTAGGGAAATAGGCTTTGTGATTTTTAGCTTAACTGCTTTTGGTAATATTAAAATAATGGGAAAAATTTATCCAAACATTATGTATCTATTTAGAGCATTTTCTCTCAATGTATTGAAAAGTTGGAGGGGCTAACTTTTAACAAATTTTCCACATTTGTAAGCTGTGATTGCTCAGAAGAAAAATCCAATTTTCAGGTCTCTAACTTTTATGGTTTCTTTACACAAAATGGTGTTTGAAATATGGAACAAATTGCCAAAGACAGTTATTGAAATAAGTAGCATAAGTAAATTGGAGAGTACTGAACAAATTTTAAAGTAGAAGCTATATAGTAGCAGACAGATTTTATGAAAGAAGATATTTTCCAGGGTTAGAATGTTAAACTCTGGTCATCTGTGACACAGCCTTGCTGTGGAACTGCCTACTCTCAATGTTTGAACACATTCAAATAGATTATTAAAAAAAAAAAAAGAAAAACAGACTTACCCAGAAAACCCAGATGAAGTAAAATCTCCACCTCAAATTTAACAAAGAACTTTAAATACACATACGTAGAAATATATATAAATTTATTCATTTATTTACTCATTCATGCATGTTAATTTTTTTTCAATGCTAGGTGTGATTCTACGGGCTATGGATATAGAAGTCAAGAAATGTAATTGGTACAGTACATAATTTAAATGAGAGACTTTAATACTTGAAAAATTTTATATAATAAATATAATTTTTATTGGGTTATTTGTCTTTGATTTAATATATTAGCTCAACCTGAAACAGTCATACTATTCTTTGATTTTAACTTTTAAATATATTACTCAATGTTTGGTATACTTTTTCCCCCTCTTTTAAAAGTTCCTCTCTTCTCAAAGTTCATTTGAAAAGTATGTTGTAAAAGTAACTTGATCAACTGGGAAGGTCTGAAGCTTCCCAGACTCTAAATTAAACCTGACCACAATGAACAGATTTTACTGCTGAAATTAGCAAGCATGTCAATTTAGACTTAAAACAAGCCATTTTCCCCTCTAATGAACAAAATAGGTCTCAGGGTATTGTGAAACCTGTTCTCTAGCTGGATGATTCTCTAATTCTGCTGACAGATACATGCTTTGTAAGCACCTGAGAAGATTATTAATGACATCTTTTGAAGCAATCACCTTAAAATTCTAAGGAGTTTCACAACTACAACACAACTCCACAATTCTAAAGTATTTCTAAATAAAATTGCAACTCTTTGTCCCACTCATGCATGGATCAAGACATATAAACATTCATTTATAAAACAAACTGTATAATAATGTAGTTTGCTATGGGAATTCTCAGACATTAATTGCTCTTTACTTAGTACTTTCTCAGTATAGGAAAAATGGGAGTTTTCTCCTTTGATGGCCTTTCTAAAAGTAAGGAAATTATTTGAAGATGGTATGTGATTAAGTACTTTTATTAAGATATTATTAAAAAAAGTAACTGAAGGGCCTTCTTTCTAAGGAAAAGAACATAGGCACACAATGCGAGTTATGATTATTGTCCTTTTTAAGTTGATTCTTTTTAAGTGTATTCTATCTACTATTATAATTTCTTTGACTTGACACCTTAGGTTTATAATCCACAACTTCTCAAATATAATGACCTTCGTCTTTCTTCTATGGAGTCACCCAAAAGTCAGAGAACTGCTGAGATCTAATCAGTACCACCTCCAAAAGATTTATCTTCAAATTTCTTTTTTTTTCCTGCCCTCAATCTGCTGTACCTACCAGATGGCACTCTCTCAAACACACTGCTCCTACTTATCTTCATAGGGTCTCTCGTATGTCCTTCAACTTCCTCATTCTAGTTTTATTCATATGAAACACGTAGAATGTTAAATGCTCATTTATTTCTCTGATATGAACCCAGATATTTATCACACACATAATTTTCATAAACAAAATTAAAGCCATCACATGCTTAACAGTATTTAAGCATGATAGCTAACTGTGTCAACACGGATTCTATCATTCTGGAAGAAACAAAACACAGGAAAAGGAAGGAATTATCACTATTTCTAGGAGTCCTAAGCCAGCTACCATGTTTTACTAAAAACAGCTTACCCCTTGGAGATGAGAATTCATCATGGATTCCACTAGCTGAGCAAAGATGAAGGAAAAAAAAAGAATCTTCAAATACACAGTGAATCAAAAGTCTTTAATCCTACTAAATCTTCCCAGAGTTGAGGGAAGCGGTTATAAATAGCAATCCTATGAAAAGGGAAGTTAAATAGTGAAACCACATATAAGTAGGTCATTTTAGGCTCTTAGAAAAATTTATAATTTACTATTATATTCCTTAGAATGGAATTAGATCTAAATAATACTCAGAAAAACTGTATGTTGAATTGAATATTATTTGTATTTCTAAGAAAAGACTTTAGCCAAACTTGTTAAGCTTTATATGTTTTTCTATAAAAAAAACTATCTTAACATAGTCACAATTAAAAGAAAAGCCCAAAGTGATTGTCATTTGCCATTTTCAGGAAATAAAAATGAACTAAGCTTGAATATAGTAATGTAGAGTCTTATATTTGCAACTGAAAAACAACATTAAAGATTGACAAGATAAAATAGTGTATAGAACCCTGTTATATGTAGAAGAGAGTAAACATTTAACTCAGGTAGACACTAAATTGTAGTCTTTCTAGTAACTGAAGGGGTTTTACTTGTGCAGATGCTAATCTTCTGTCTAGCTTTCAACTGCCTCACCTTCACTTTGGCTTCTTGTCTTACATTTGGCTGTTTCTCTAAACAGAGTGGCTAAATTCAAAGTCACCTAATAATTATTGCTCTCTACTTCCTCACTTAACCATTTACATTTTAAACTGATTTAGCTGTCTTCCTACTTGGCATACCTTCCGTACTTCTCTGAGTGTTTTACTAGCACCTCTCCTGATAACTTCATAAGCACCTTCTAATTATAGTTATCCTTTTGTCCCTCATTAAAGAAATATTGTATTAAAGAGCATTGTATTTTTATATAATTTCAAACTTAGAAGATTTGAAAGAATGTTTAAAAATTCCTTTTTACACTTCATCCAGATTCAGCAGTTATTAACATTTTACTGTATTTATTTATTTATCATTCTTTCAGTGTTTCTGTCTATATCTATAATATATGATATGTAATATTCATATTTTTCTAAACCATTTGAGGATATTTTGCAAATATCATACCTACTTATCCTTAAATACTTTAGTATGTATTTTTATGGCCAAGAGTAATTATTTATCCCAGGAATGAAAGTTTGATTTGAGACACAAACTATTAATACTTAATAATATACTAATAGAACAAAGGAAAATAAATGTCATCTGAAAACATGCAAAAATTAATTAATAAGTCGAAAATTCATTCAAGAGTATAACATTCAATAACATGTTATCATCATAGGATCAGTAATTTCTCCTAGATTACAAAAATACAGGGGATGTCCAATCTTGCCACTTCTATTCAACGTGGTACTATATGTTGTGGTCAAAGTGATTAGACTAATAATACAAACATAAAATTCCAGATTGGAGAGGATCATACTATCTTTTCTGACAAATGACCAGATGTTGTATGTAGAAATTTCGATGACACTAATGAAATATGATTAGAACTAAAAGTCAATTTTAGAAGTGTTGCAGTATACAAGATCAATATAAGCTAACCCTGGTGGCTCATGCATGTTTTCCTAGCTACTTGGGAGGCTGAGATCAGGAGCATTGAGGTTAAAGGCCAGCCTGGGCAAAAACTTTGTGCGACCCCTTCTCCAAAATTAACCACAGAAAAATGGAATGGAGGTGTAGCTCAAGTGGTAGAGTTGC